CAAATATTAAAATTTAAGTCAGAAATTTTTTCTCAGAATTTCGATTAATAAATTTTTAATTAAGATTTCATAAGTAAATCGTGATACAATGTACCTAATAATTTATTCTTTTTGTGTAGAACAGAGGATAGCGCAGGATCGAGTCGTTTCTATGCTCGCAAACGGTTAATTTGGATATTCGAAAAAGATTGTTAAAAGTGTGTCTAAAACGCGACGCTGTACGGGTGCGAAACATGGACGGTGGACGCGGTCGAAAAGAAAGGTTAGAAGCGTTAATTAAGATTTCATAAGTAAATCGTGATACAATGTACCTAATAATTTATTCTTTTTGTGTAGAACAGAGGATAGCGCAGGATCGAGTCGTTTCTATGCTCGCAAACGGTTAATTTGGATATTCGAAAAAGATTGTTAAAAGTGTGTCTAAAACGCGACGCTGTACGGGTGCGAAACATGGACGGTGGACGCGGTCGAAAAGAAAGGTTAGAAGCGTTTGAAATGTGGTGTTACAGATGAATGATGAGAATACCGTGGATAGAGAAGTTTAGAAATCAACAAAATATGGAGAAGAAAATTCCTATGTTCATTAAGGATTCTCAATTCATGACACTTTAATTAGGTATGTCTATTTACTAAACCATAAAATTCAGTGTTTACATCCCAAAATTAGAAAATTCGGTCACTTAATAGGTATAGATACGCTTTTGCTGGAGATGCTCAAAAGTAAACTTTAATTATTAATCAATTAATTAAAGATCTTATAATACCTACCTCTGATACATAAAAAGGCGATTTCCGCTATATATCTTACCACCCAAAAGAAACTAATAAAAAACAACTGGCCAATAAAAAGTTAAGTCGATAATGGATTTTTATTATGACAGACTTAACTTTCTGATACCTATCTGACACATGAAAACCTATGGATGGGATAATTCCCGTTGACCTGAACTTATAATCTTAAAGTTTGACGTACAAGAAGATTTTCCATTCCCAACAGCTACTAATGGTGGGAAGGCGGAGTAAGCAGTTCCACCATCTTAGTGAAAATCCGGTAGATAGAGACTCTTCAGACATCATTAGGAATCATGGGAATGGGATTGTAGTGGTTGAAGAAAGACAGATGAGACAAACGAACTGAAGACGGAAGGGAAGTGAAGTGTTATCTATGGAGTATATTTGTTCCAGCATTTGNTTGATTTCAACTTCGAAACAAAAAAATATTTAGTTTCAATCTCTATTAATAATGAGCGTAAAACTTTTTAATATGTTTAAATAATAATTAAAACTTTAAAATTGCATTTATTTCAGACAATTATAAATATTATCATTATATTATCAAGTAAAAACGAGATTTTCAGCTAATTTTTCATTTTTTCCTCAATAACCATTTAGTGAATTTGAATAACCTTACGCTAAAGTGATTCTCCAGAGTTCAAGTTACTTATTATAAAAGTTTAAAAGTTCTGGTAGCTTTTTTTCTGTTAATAAAAATAAATTTAATCTGTTCGGTTAACGAACCTCCATAAAACGACGTGTAAAATTACAATTCTTTAAAATTTCAATAACTTTTTAACAGTTTAGTGAATCGATTTGTAATTTTTACAGGAGTTTTAGAATTGAATGAGGAACGTTCTTCCAAATTTTTATTTGTCTCGTAGCATTTTGACATACCTCCCAAACATCCTCAAATTGTTCATGTTCTTTCTTTTGAAGATCAAATTACATCTCCAAATTACACATTCACTCATTATCTTCCCCGCTCTCTGACTCAAAATTCTACAATTTTGTGAAAACCTCCAAATCGTATTCAGTATACCAAGATACTAAATTTTAATATGAGAACATTGTAGTGGATCATTGTACACAATCTCTTTTGATATTCAGTGTTCTAGAAAATAATATAAGTACCTAATTACGTTTATTCATAAATATATACAGAAGTTCAGATTTTCTGTTGTAAGCACAGACGTTAATGCCTATGTAGGGGTAAATATGTATTCTTCTTTCTTTTATTTAAATAAAAAAATATTCTTTTTACACCTGAGTTGGTATCCCGTCACTTTTTTACAAAGTTCTCTGCATAACCAACAACAAGGAAACTTTTCCAGTTATTTCGGCACCTGTATTTTCACTTTCAGACCTTTCAAACTTCTGAAAGCTTCTTTGCGACCTACTGTTCGACACTTGAGGACAGCAGGATCAACGCAAAATCCTCCTGCTTCTCAAGCTTCTCCTTCGGTTTTTGCCACGAGACTACTCAAACAAAACACATAAATCATTAAAATCCGTACCAACAAAAGCCTTTTATTCAGCACGTTCCTGACAAATGGAGTCTGCCANCAATAAAAAGTTAAGTCGATAATGGATTTTTATTATGACAGACTTAACTTTCTGATACCTATCTGACACATGAAAACCTATGGATGGGATAATTCCCGTTGACCTGAACTTATAATCTTAAAGTTTGACGTACAAGAAGATTTTCCATTCCCAACAGCTACTAATGGTGGGAAGGCGGAGTAAGCAGTTCCACCATCTTAGTGAAAATCCGGTAGATAGAGACTCTTCAGACATCATTAGGAATCATGGGAATGGGATTGTAGTGGTTGAAGAAAGACAGATGAGACAAACGAACTGAAGACGGAAGGGAAGTGAAGTGTTATCTATGGAGTATATTTGTTCCAGCATTTGCTTGAATGATCCAACAAAACCAGAGACAGGTGGATCGAGGCAGGTGAACCCAAAATCTAGCCAGTGCCCGTGCCAATATTAAGCTATCGTCAAGAGTCTAATAGACTGCTAGGCCATGCCGCTCATTTAGAAATACGGTCTTACAGCTTACAGGTAACGGAAGGAACATCCGATACCAAATAATCCACAAAATATCCTAATTTTTTTAACACTCCATTACCATATAATCAGGCGAATGATGAGGATACCGTGGATAGAGAAGGTTAGAAATGATGAGGTATTAGAAAGAATAGGAGAACAGAGGATCTATGAAAGTCAATAAGAAATAGGCGAGATAGGTTGCTAGGACACCTCCTCAGGCATGAAGGGCTAGTTAGAGAACTATTAGGAGCAGAAACTGAAGTTAAGAGGAGTAGAGGTAGACCTAGATTAAATTACACTTCACAAATAGTTAAGGATATGGGTTGTTCTAGTTTTAGGGAAATGCGAAGATTAGCTCAGGAAAGAAAAAAGTGAAAGTACGTGTCCAACCATTCTTGAACTAATTACCTTATGATGATGATTATATAAAGAATGTAGTTTTGTTAATTTGGCGAAATTATCACTAGCAAATGGGTTTTTATTTAATCTATATATAAAAGTTCAAATTTTCTGTTGTAAGCTAGATCTAGGTACAGATATTAATGTCTATGTGGGGGCAAGTATGTATTCTTCTTTCTTTTATTTAAATAAAAAAATATTCTTTTTACACCTGAGTTGGTATCCCGTCACTTTTTTACAAAGTTCTCCGCATAACCAACAACAAGGAAACTTTTCCGGTTATTTCGGCACCTGTATTTTCACTTTCAAGACCTTTCAGACCTTTCAAACAAAGCGAGATTTTCAGCTAATTTTTCATTTTTTTCCCCGATAACTATTTAGTGAATTTGAATAACCTTACACTAAAGTGATTCTCCAGAGTTCAAGTTACTTATTATAAAAGTTTGAAATTTCTGGTAGCTTTTTTTCTGTTNTCAAGAGTCTAATAGACTGCTAGGCCATGCCGCTCATTTAGAAATACGGTCTTACAGCTTACAGGTAACGGAAGGAACATCCGATACCAAATAATCCACAAAATATCCTAATTTTTTTAACACTCCATTACCATATAATCAGGCGAATGATGAGGATACCGTGGATAGAGAAGGTTAGAAATGATGAGGTATTAGAAAGAATAGGAGAACAGAGGATCTATGAAAGTCAATAAGA